GGGGGGGGGCGGCTAACAAGAACAAATAAGTAAATAAAGGGCGATTTAAATTAAAAAGTAGACTGGGCAAGGGGAGATAGTAGGTTTAGGAGAACAAATGCTGTCAAACAACCATTTTTGCAAAATGCAGAGTATTATTATAAATCCTTCTTAAATTACACCCAGGGCCATGTACCTTGCACATGAAATTTGGGTAATTCTTTGATAAACCTCAAGGTTGCTAGATAACTTCACGAAAGTTATTAACACATTTTCATTGTGAGAAGCAAAGGAGAAATAAAAATAATCAAGATACATAGCACTTTTACTTTTTGAAATGGCTATCCTAAAAGTTTTTCTTAAATTCCAATTTTGCGAAGTTCCTTCTCTCCAGTCATCAAGTACACACTGAAAAAAACTTTACTTATGAGTACTGTGGACTATCTATGGAGTATGCATTTTTCATAAATGTAGACCAAAGTGAACTAATTGAGATTTGGTTCTAAATTCAGCCTGTGATTCTTGGATATAGCTTTGGAACAAAATGAGTGGTGTATATATATATATATATATATTTAAGTATAGTTACTTCTTAATTTTGTTGGGAAAATATTTATATTCTCAGCCCAAAAGATTACTTTTAGAGTTTGAAAGATTAAAGATAAAAACAAAATTGGTTCAACAACTGTCAAATAAAATGAATACAAACACTGACCACAACAATTTTCCACTCAATCCAAAATAAACCACTTCAGTTGAGCTCGGCTCACTTAATTTTAAAAGTATCCCCCTTTTCCAGATTCTTAACTGGACTGATTATTGCCTAACAACATTATCTGTGTTAAAAGTGAAGAGATAAAAAGTGTTGTAAAGACTGCACGAGTGATTGTAATGTGTAATCACATTTCAGAGCTGGAAGGGATCTTTGAGATCTAATCCAGCACCCACATTTTATAGACGAGAAAACTGAAGCCCAAACGGAGTCTTTTGGTCAAACGACATGACCAAAATCACATCCCATGGCTGAGCCATTCATTCATTCATTCATCATTCATTCACCCACATACTACTGAAAGCTGCCTAAGTGCCAGGCTTGGTGCTAGGTGCTGAAAACAGGCTGCAGGGCAGCAATCGGCAACGTCCAGGCAACAGGCAAGCTTTTTCCTTGTTTTAAGAGAAATCCTTAAATGTCCTCACCAGGAAGAACTCCTAGAAGACTTCCACAGCCTTTGCAGCACCGGGCCCACTTTCAGTTTCACACATTTCAGTAAACACAGTTGGCTTTAACTTTGCAGAGTCCACAATCATGTTTACTTTAAACAATTAAGCATTAACAAAGGGAAGCACAGTATTGTGAATGAGTCCCTTTCCAGTACATTCATAACTTAAGGAAGTGCAATCAGAAAATGCCCCCCCCCCACACACACAAGAGTTCACAGAGAGGACAGCTTACAAAATCAGAGCAAAATGAGGTATCAATACAGGCCAGTTAAGTCTAATAGCTCAAGTTTACCAAGTGTGGAATGTAAATCTCTCCCCGTTTCATTCAGATGTGGGTATATTTTTCTGAGATGTCTGCATGTTAAAAAGACCTCTAAACTCACATTCAAACTAATGCCCTCTTCCAATGAAATGTACATCTAAACCAGGCCTTTCTCCTTAAGATCAACTTCCTTTGATTTCTAGTTGATTAAAGGAAAACTAAAATAAAAAAATAATAACGACACCTAATGTGTTGGCTATAAGAAATTCAAATCCTCATACAATAAGAATAGCAATAGCTCAAACTGCACATTTATGAGTTTTGTTTTTAAAGAGATGGGCAGTGAACTTATCCATCAACATAAATCATCTCTCTTTCTGCTTGGACTTTTACAGTCTTTAATATTAAGTCTGGCACTTAAATGTTTTGTGTATATCAATTCACAGTCAACTTCTTTGAGGAGAAAAAAACCATATTGACAAAGCTTTTAAATAAAACAACCCATAAGTAAGGCACTTTGAAATATTAAACAGCAGCTCTCTGTGCACCCATTTTCAGCATTCTATACCAAAATGAAACACAGCTTTCACAGAGCTCTCGCAGATGACCAGTGGGTGATTTCTGATAAAACACAACCTCACTGAGGCTCTTTAAAGGCTCTTTGACTTTCTTGAAATGACCAGTGGGTGATTTCTGATAAAACACAATCTCACTGAGGCTCTTTAAAGGCTCTTTGACTTTCTTGGAGCTATTGTCCGTCCGCTCAGGAAGAAAGTGCTGTTGTGCTCTTCTATTTCTCAAACTTCCAGATCTGTTTTTTATCTAGAGCATCACAAGTTCTCATTTGAACATCAGGGCGACCCTCAGGTGTCCGAAAAGCACTAAGGCACAGTCCCGAGCGGGGATGAAAAATGGTTCCATCTTCTTCAAAATGCCAAATAATGTTTGCTGGAATGGGGAACCCATCTTTTGGACAATTTTGCATTCCTACATAATTTTTTTGCTCAGGAACCTCTGCGCATAACTCTGTCACAGAGTTAAACCTTATTTCCTTGTTTGAAGTGTATTCAAAGAATTGATTGCCTCCTTGGCCGTGGCAGCCAAACAGTGAAAGGTTGGCACCTGTGGGGTTACTGTCAGGAGAGTTATAATCTAAACATTCGGAAGAGATTCCCATACTGCGAATAGCTCCGTGCCAGCCTGGCCTATCCTCTGGAACATGTAAATTAGAAAACACATTTTTCAAATACCAGTCAAAGCTCTTGCACTTCAGCCGTTCTCGTAGTAATTTTCTTTCAGATATATCACCATAAGCTTCTTTCCTTGCTGGAGGGTTTCGATTGTAGAAATGCTCTTTGTACTGGTCCATCCACACTTCCGCTGCCCGAGCAGTATTCTGTAGGAAATTGGGCCGAGCATATGGCGCCCGCTTGGGGAATACATGGCCCACATGGGAACACGGGTGGATCTCCAGTTTACCTCCACACTGCCACACCCTAAAAGATAGCTCCAGGTTCTCACCCCCCCACACTTCCATTCCAGTGTCATATGTTCCAAGGTACTGAAAATATTTCTTGCTGACAGCAAACAGTCCTCCAGCCATGGTGGGAGATCGGATTGGGTCAATTCTCGATTTCCGTCTGTCCCTTTCATGTTTGGGGACTGAATGCCACTGGAAGGTTAAGCGCCAGTCAAATCCACCAATCATGGGCTCCCCGGTCTGCATATAGAACTCAAAAGTATTCCAATCAATGGTGTCTATCACAGGACATACAATTGCCGTTTCATCTTTCCCAATTCTTTCCAAAAGTGGTTCTAACCAACCAGAATTACACTCACAGTGGCAATCCAGGAAAGTGAGGACATCCCCCGTGGCAAAAGTGGCCCCAATCAGGCGGGCTCGAACCAGCCCCTCACGCTTATTTGTTCTAATCAAGCGGACTCTATCGAGATTGCTGATGTAAGTTTCAAGCTGTGTCTTCAAATAAACTCTGTCACTCAAGTCATCCACTAGGATGATTTCCTTCAAGAGGACTGCAGGAGAAGTTTCTAAAACACTGTGGATGGTGCGGAGCAAGGTCGACCAGGCTTCATTATAGAAAGCGATGATAACAGAGGTGGTGGGAAGTCTCCTATAATTAAACTTCTGGGATTTACACTCATACATTCTTTTATCCTCTATGTGGCGGTGCAGGGAAATCCTGTCGCTGAGATAAATATTAATGGCATATCTCTCAATAAGTTCTTCTTGCTGCTTTAGTTCATCCTGGCTGAGCTGGAGTTTGCTGGCTTTCCCCCACTCCCCAAGTGCGTGGAAATCTGCAGGGGGCTTCTCATAAAGCGGTCGAGACAACTCCTCTGCCTTTTCCCACGGGCCTGAGAGCTGTTTGGGCCCCCTCTCCCTGGCAAGGCCGGCTGCTGAGGAGGCATGGAAAGTAGAGACAGAGAGTTCCACCAGGATATAGGCCACTGTTAAAAGCGCCAGCAACAGGCAGCTCTTGCCTGCCCAGGTCCACCTCACGGCCATCCGGATCCTCATGGTTAAGGCGCAGACGCGGCCACCAGAGCCACCACGCAGGGGAAGGACTTCGGACCAGCAGATTGAGGTCCCGGCTCAGGTAGGAGCGAACTTCCGAGCACGTCCCTCCTTTCACGCAGGCGCTCGGCTTCTTTCCAGCCACAGGGGCTTCGCAGCGGTCACCGGAGACCTCTCGGTCCTTGGCCTCCGGCACAGCCCCAACTCCTCTCTCCCCGCTTCCTCCACTTGGTCTCACAACTTTTCACAAACTCTCTGGCCAACACCCCACCCTCCCTGGGCCGAGGACAAACCCCTCCCCTTCCCACTCACTCCTCCTGGCGGTTAGTTCGAGAAAGTCTTCGGCCAGGCCCGGGCCCGGAGGCGACTCGGCGGGGCCGGGCTGGGGGCCAGGACTGGCACGACCCAGGTGCCCGAGGCTGCGGCGCTCTCAACCCCCACACGGGTCCTCGGGGGCTCTCCCGCGGCCCCGCGTGGGCAGGAGGCAAGGTTTCCGACCACCTGAGCCTTGGCCGCATCACAAAGAGGGGGAGAGAATGCAACTTACCAAGTTGTTTGCCGTTGGGACTGAAGTCCACGGACGTGATCGCAGCTTTGTGGCCCTTAAAATACCGCTCCAGAACGGGGTCCTCCTGGGAAGAAAGTCGTCGGGTTGTGAAAGCAGGTGCAGCCGTCGGGACGCGGGCGTCGCGGGGTCAGCGCGGCCGCCTCCGCCGGGGCCCGGCCCGGGAACCGCCACACGGGCGCTGTCCCCGCGGAGCCCGAGGGCCCTGCGCCAGCGCCCGCTCGGACCCCGACTCGGCGAGGCCGAGCGCCTGCCGCCCGCGCGGAGCCCGCCCCCACCGCCCGGGCCGCTCCCCAGAGTCGGGCGCCCGCGCGGGGCCACCGGGACGGCTCATCGGAATGCACGTTCCCGGGCCCCGGCGCCGGAGCCACCGGCGCGAGGCGGGGCCCCGGCTCCGGGGCTTTTGCAAACCCGCCAGGTGATTCTGACGCAGGCGCTCCACTGGAACCCTCCGAGAATTCTGGGGGCCATGGGGCTGCCGGGGCTCCGTCCCGAGCTCCGGGACGCCGGGAGGAGCGCCCGGGATCCGGCCAGGTAGCGCCAGGATCTCCGGCCCGGGATCCAGGGATCCCCCGGAGCGGAGAGTGAGGCGTGGACGCCCCTGGGGCGGGGGGCGCGGGGCGAGCGGCTCAGCACCCGGCTGCGGACGCTTGCCTCCACCTCCCGCCAGGTGCTAGCGCGGCCCCGCGGCACCAGCTCCGGGGAGGCGCCCCCCAGCCCCTCCTTACCGGGGCGGAGGCCATGGGAGGAGCGGCCGGCGCCGGGCTCCAGCCGGCGGGGGGGACCGGGGGAAGGGAGGGGACGGGACGGGAAGGGGGGACCGTGCGGCGCCCGGAACCGTCTGCCCAGAGCGGCGGCGCCTCCCGGTCACTACAACAACGGCGACCCAGTCAAACCCCGCGCTCCAGGCGTGGCCAGTCGAGCCCCGAGGCGGCGCCCGCGCCGGAGGAAACCGTGCCCAGGCCAGCAGGCAGGCGGGACGCTCCAGGGTCAGGTGTGACAACGCACGAAAGCCAACGTTTACTAACACTCGCACTGCCCGCGGCTTGAAACCGTGAAAGAGGGCAGTCACCGCGGTGGCAAGGAGACCGAGGCGAGGGAGAGGGCAAGGAGTCTGTGATCGATGCAATCGGAGTTCGACTACACGTTAAAGAGACAGCGCCCAGGAATTTGAAGAGGGTCCCCGACAGCTTAATGACTGGGGAAGGGAGTTTGGGTCTGAAGTGGGGCAGCTTGCTAAGTATTCATATACGCACAGGAACTAAACCTCTGGAGGACAGATTTTAATTTACTTAATCACTATTTTTCACACAATACCCTTCGTGATATAAATGCTGGAGAGATGAATGAATGAATGAATGAATGTTGTGCATCTACTTAATGTTTTTTCTGCTATGTGTTTCTATTCTAATCTGCTCGTTAGTGTATGCTTTAGAGCAGCCAATTTCCTCGGCAACAAGTTTAAAGTCTGCAGGAAGCCTTAGAAAGAAACTTTTTGTTTTGTTTAAATTATTAGGCTACATAGTAATATAGCCATTTGTATAGCAGGCTTTCTTACACACAATATCATTGGCGTTTCGGCAACGCCATGGCGCTGATGCAGTTATAAAATGTTACCAACGTTTGCAAATTGCAAACTTGATTCCTAGCTAGTTTACATATAATTGTCAAAGATTACAGAGTCAGATCTTCCAATTCTAAACCCATATTCTCTTTCCCCCTACCTCAAAGCATGAAAGACTCGGCTGAAAATTACATATAAAATAAACATTCTTGGCAGCAAAAAAATGACGTAATAGACCACAGCCGGTAAGACACATATTCTATGTAAATGAAAGGTATAGTACACACCTTAATTGCGGGTTCTCTAGTTGTCTAGTGATAGAATTTAGTTTTAGTAAATACTGCACATAGCAATTAAACAGACAGGAAATAGCTTTAGGTTTCAATATTAGTTCAATTCAAGTATAAATTTGCTGACTATCTCCTGTTTGGCTCTGAGGGGTACACAGGTGACTGAGACATTTTCACTGCCCTCAGGAACTCAACAGACTAGGTTTCTGAGTCTCATATTTTAGTATGTATAATGATGATTTAGGGGACCCCATTCCCAGAGATGCTGATTCAACATGCATAGGGTGGGATCGGGGCTCTATAAATGTAATAAAGAAGTCTTAGCTGTGTACATTGAGAAACATTGCTGTAGTCTAGGAGGTGATGTATCAAGAGTGTCGATACCAGCAACTTACCAACAGTGACAGGACTCTGAGCTTTGCTGCTTATTCCCAGACTAGGTTTGACTTCAAACAAACAAACAAACAAACAAACAAACAAGACTGACATCTGACATGCTTAAAAATAATGCTGGATGCTGGTTTGTGTGTAAAACGTTGTAGCTCTGTGGAAAACAGTTGTGCGGTTCCTCAAAAAATTAACTCCTAGGCATATAACTCCAAACGCATTGAAAGCAAGGGCTAGAACAGATACTTGGACATCAAGGTTCATAGGAACATTGTTCACAACAGTCCAAAAGTGGAAACAACTCACATGTCTAACAATGAATCTATAAAGAAAATGTGGTATGGACATACAATGACTGTCATTTGGTCATAAAAAGGAATGAGATTCTGATACATACCACAACGTGAGTGAAATCTGAAAACATTATGCTAACTGAATAAGCTAGACACAAAGGCTAGTTGGATTCATAGAGACAGAAAGTGGAATGGAGGCTGCCACGGGTGCGAGGATAAGAGAGAATGGAGAATTACTGTCTAATCAGAGCCGAACCTCTGTTTGAGGTGATGATGTTCTGGAAATAACGATGGGTGATGGTCCAAAACAGTGTGAATGTACTTAATGCCAGTGAATCGTACATTTAAGAATAAAGTTTACATTTTATTTTAATGTATATTTGACTACAATAAAAATAATAATTCTAGAAACTCTGAGGAATGACCAAGACCTCATTATTTCTCATAGCCAAGATATGTCTGATCTTGGGTATAGCAGATTACCAGAAAAGGAATAAGGTAAAAATGTAGAAACTAGTTCAAAAGAAAAGTTTTAAAGTACAGATTTTTCTCTAAGTCTTTTAGTAAAAATACAATTAAGCTTTTTTTCTAGTTATCAAAAAATACATCACCTATTGGGCCATTACCTAAACGCAGACTTAATTATTATTATTATTATTATTATTATTATTATTATTTTTCAGAG